ATCAAGGAACAAATCATCAGGAATTGTTAAACTTGAATCAGTACTGGTATTAGAATCTGGGCCTTTATATTCTGACAGTGTCTCCTTGATTACTTGTTTTACATTTGAAACATAATCCTTATTTCTCAAAAGAGAATTGTTGAAACGCCAAAATCCCTTACCTCGATGGAAATCATTAATTATGAGCTCAATTTCTATTATAGAATGATCTGTTTTGTACCCAGGCAAAATTTTAACTTCTTCTACTATTGACATTAACTCCTCAGAGATGAGAAAAAAATCAAGTCGCGCCTGCTTCAATGGGTTCCTTCGATTCCATGTGTACATTTTAGAATCGGGATTATTTATCCTCCAAGGATCTATTAAATTAAATTTATTCTTAAGTTTTTCAATTTCTTCTCTATTTTTTAAATTGTTTTCTCTGATGTAATTATAACAATCTAGTTGAAAATCCTGAACAACATTCCAATCACCACACATAATTACAAAATCTGATTCAATATCTTCAATCAAATTTAATATTTCAGAGTAGAAATGAGAATCATCTTTATTTGGGCCATATAAGTTAACAAGAGTAACTGTGTATCTATTTTCAACTAAGATATTAGATATAATGTAATTTCCATTGTTGTCATATTTCACTGTCAAAATTTTTAGTTCTATATTATTGTTCAAAAGTGTTAGGGTACCCCTAGCATCAGTTCTACCTGAGCTCATTAATATATCATGACCCCATTGGGCATAAATTGATTTTTTTTCAGACTCGGTACAGTGAGTGTCTTGTAAACAAAATATGGAGGACTTTAAGTCCCTTAAATAGTTAAAAACATCTTTTCTTTTTTTACTATCATGAAGTCCCCTGCAATTTACTGATGTAATCTTAAATCTAGTCATTGTAAAATATTTGCAAATTAAGCCAGCATATACAAAAAAAACTTTTACATACCCATCATTCATACTAAAAACAAAAAAACCTTCCAGCATGTTATCAAATACCAGTTTCACAATAGATTTGATATTATCAAAAAAGTGAGGGTTATTATGAGAACAATAGGGTTATTCAATTCATATAGGTATATAAATGTACAATAATGAGATACCTTAACTTAGAACCTGGTATAGTTACATATACAAGTTATGATTCAATGAAAGATATACTGCAGAAACGACAGATGTTACTGATACACCAGTTGTGCAGGGATAGCTTACTCGCATTGCTTCCACACAGTTTCATCTTTAGCACGGAACTGTAGGATCACACTGTCTTTGGTTTCTATGATTCTGGTCTTGACGTGATCATTTTTCCTCATGAGGTATGCTTTGTGTGCGAGCTCGCCCCTTTTCTTTTTCAGCTGATTTGGTAAATCTGTCCTGACTGCCATTCCTTTTGGTAAGGTCACAGTCCTTGCTTGGTTCAGCACTTTGTTTCGGTCCTCCATTCGCGAAAATTTTACTATCAGTGCATCTGGTGCTTCAGGTTTATACGTGTTCTGTGGGTTCCTGGGTATCCTGTGTGAGTTTTGTATAATAATGCTCTGGATATCTTCAGGCGGCATATGTAGATTCTTTTCCAAACAGCTCAGGACTACCTCGGTTGTGTTTTCTTGATCGACTCTAGGAATACCATAGAATAGCAAATTATATTTCCTTGATCTGTTTTCCTGGTGTAAGATGTATGTTTGTAGTTCTTTCACAGAGTCTTCCATTTCACATATTCTCTTGCATTGAGAATCAATCTTTTCCACCTTAAGACTTTCCAAGTCCGTAATTCTGAGGTCCTGATCCTCTAATGCTAACTGGACATCATTGAGATCTTTTCTAAGTACTTTCATATTTTCGTCTACATTGTCGAGCTTATCTTGGATTTTTTTGAGCTTAGCATTCACTGAACAATCTAATTTTTCGATAAGTGACGTAAATATGTCTTTTAAATCTTTATTAGTAAGGTCACTTGCCTCTTTCATATCGTTTCTGTTATCCTTATCGTTTCTGCTAGTGCTATCCTTATCGTTTCTGCTATCCTTAGCGTCTTTCGTTCGTGGCATGGTGGCCCGAGTTTTCTCTGTCCTGTACTAGTATAATAGTTCCTGTCTTCTCTCGCTCTAAGCAGTATAGTTCTTGGTTAAAAAATATCATTCGTACCCAGGGACAATTGGAGAGATAAATACATAACCTTAAATTCTTTAAGTTTTGGATTAAACAGAATTCTCCCCCACTTTTTTCTCAACCGAGAAAATCACGCCATTCCTTGGCGCCACCAAACCGGAAGTTTCAAATAATATTTTAATGTTTGTAAAACACAACTTTTCTCAGGCAATGCACTGATCTTTAACTTTTGAACATCATGACCCGGTCTTGATGTTTTCAAAAGATCTGAAATTGTGAACACTACGTATTCACCAAAGTCAGCCATATTGTTGATGTCAAGTGATATCAAAGCTTGAACTCAACTCTTTGTGCTGTTGTTAAAGCAAGTAAAACTGACAATTTTATAGTAAGATCCTTCAAATTTAAGTCTCCCAAGGGATAAAGAGTTTTTAAATAATTATAACTTTGCTACATGTAACATCCCATGTTACAGTGTATTTTGGTTTTAGTCAATTAAGAAATTCACCCTTCATAAATCTAATAATAATTGGGCTCTGTAAGTATGACAAATTTCCACAGGCTGACATGGTTTGAATTATTTCTGCTTTGTGTGCATTTATAGTAAGGTAAGGAAGTTTTTTTCTCTGCTAGACTGGACAGATAATTTATTATTACATAACAAGATGGTTGCATGGAATTGATTTTCCTTTGATCACGTCATATTTTCCACTTATGTCAAATAAACTCATATTTTCTATTTGTACTTATCTCCATGACTGAATGATATATCTTATACAGTTTTCTGATAAACCTGTATTTTTGAGTCTATACCTGACACAATCTTGATTTTTGAGGCAGTTCTATATCCGATTCCAGTTGTACTTTGGCTAGTGTAGCGGTTCTCTTTGGAGAATCTTCAAATAATTTCCAGAGACATCTAAGAATAGAATTACCTTATCAACATACTGAGCATTCTTGTTTGAATCAGTGGATGCCAATGCAAGTCTGGTCAATCCTCTTTTGGAAAAAATGATTTGTCTGAGTTACGATGAAATATATGGAGATAACGAACAGTATTCAAGCTCAAAAGTCCATTATACAATACAAAATAGGAGCAGAGAAAACACGGACCTCCAAACATCAGAGGTGGGATCAGGTGCCATGGAGGAGTGAGCATCCCCTGCCGACCGGTCACACCCGCCGTGTGCTCCTTGTCATGATCGGGAAATAACGGAAAAATCCGTCGACAATTCAGTGTGTAAATAATGGCCTAACAATTAGTATGAAAAACGTCAGTCAGCATTTCACTCAATGATAAATTGTATTTGCTGACAAGGTCATTGTATCGACCAAAGAACTTGCGAAATGATGACTTTAGACGAGACAGCTGATATTCTTGTTTCATCAACTTATTTGTCAATAATTTACCTCGTTTTAGAAAATGTACATACGTAGAGCATGCTCTTGCGTATCGAATCAACTGAGAGATATATACCCCGTATGCAGGTGATGAAGGTATATTGCTGCATAAGTAAGGGAAGTTGACGATTGAAAATTTAAAGTCATCACATTTATCATAAAGCTTGGTTGTTAGATTACCATTAACGTCTTTTTCAAGTAAAATATCCAAATATGAAGCAGATGTGTCAGACTCTGTGGTATCTTTTATCTCAAGTTCACCAGGATATATCGTATCGACATAAGAATGAAAATAGCCATTGTTGATTGACAATACGTCGTCGATATATCTACATGTCGAGTTGAACGCCACAGCAAGTGTTTTCTTCTTTTCACGTACAAGATTTTGGACAAATTCTGCTTCATATGAATACAAAAAAAGGTCTGCTAATAACGGGGCGCAATTGGTACCCATAGGAATTCCAATAGATCGTTGGAAGACCTGATAACATTGATAACACAGATAACCCTAACCCTGAGTGAGATAACATTGATTCAACGCTTTCAATTCTTAGTTTCCATTTGAAGTTGTAGAATTTGTTGATATTGCTGCGATGTTCATATTTGAAGTTGATTTCATCTTATTTTTAGGATGTCATATCTCCTTTCTTGAATGTAATCACATTTATCGTATAAATATCCAGAGATGTATTAAAAGTCTTGATGTAGTCCAGACCAGAATTTGGTCCCCAACATTTAATGTTTGTTTAATGTTGGTGACGACATACACGGACCAATAGGAGTTTGGTCGCGACTGCAGAACAGACTGTAGGAGATCTTGGTTTCTTGTTTGTATGTTGTTTAACGTCCCTCTCGAGAATTTTTACTTATTTGGAGACGCCACCACTTGCCGTTGGAGAGCTGCAGATTTTGTCCTATACTCGGCACTTACGGCCATTGAGCAGTGAGGGATCTTTTTCGTGCCAGCACCTACTGCGACACGGGACCTAGGGTTTATACGGTCTTGTCCGAAAGACCGGTCTCCACGTTCCACAGTGGGATTCGAACCCGCGACGTAGGGATCAACTCCTTACCTCGCGATTCTAGAGCAGACGCTCTAACCACTGCGCCACGCGGGCGACTCGGAGCAAGATTAAATTTTCTTAAAGTGTTTTTAGTAGGTACCTGGCACGGTTCCCTTAAAGTCTTTTTAGTAGAAACCTTGGGGCGTTAAAACGGAGTCGTTTCCGGAAGATAGAAATATCTTAATTCTCCTTCTGCATTTCGCAAAACGATCTTTAAAAAAAGTTAATTATGAAAGTATGATTTTCGTTGTGATGAATTTCAGCAAGTTGTTCTTCAGAGTCGCTGTATGAAAGATAAAAATTCGCAGCGGGAAAGTTGTATTCTTTTTTAATGAAACCCTCTTGATGAGATCTATGAATAAGACGATTGTGTTTTTCTAATGGAACTTGTAATTTAGGGTCGTCAGTTGACTGTTATCAAATTTTTCTGGTCTATTTTGGAATACCTGTGAAAAAAGTATTATCATCTTTGCATGACTATTCATATTTACAAGAACTTACCGCAAAATAAATGTTCCTATCCTATGTTTTCTATTAAGTATCATACTTATACCTAAGACAAAGTTGTGCTAAGTATTTGTGCTTTCTTATTGTGACATCTGATGGGTAATATGCCGCATCTGTCAGTGAAGGTTTATTAACTTTGGGGAACATATGGGTATCCACATATACTTTTTAATGGCGTCGCATTTCTGATACACTTGTGACCCCGTATCCCACCATCTCATAAAGCTTATCTCTTACATCTTTGTTCAAGGGATTAATAAAACCTGTAATCTACGTATATAAATCCAATAATAATAAAAGTCTATTTACATCACAAAGTACACAAAAAATATATACCAAACACACAGAAAAAATTAAAGTAATTATACGAACCTGACCAATAAGATGCACTGATTGGTGCTCTCCATCCTTGGGTAAACTTGTATATATTGTGTTCTTTCTTGATGTTGCTTCCCATAATTTCCAGATCTTCTCTTAGCTTCTCACTTGCAATTCTTCTTGCCTTTTCGGTATCTTGTTTTGCCTGCAATTTAAATAATAAATATACATATTTTTCTTATAATTTTCACATAGCAACAATTAATGGGTGATACTATAAATATCTACTACTAGGGTCACCCTAGTTCACATAGCGGCCGTTGAAGGATGATGCTATAAGAAACTGTATCCAAATTATTTATCTTTTACTTACTCACAAAAACAAAACAAAATAATTTTTGAACGTACAATTAATTTCTCCCATCAAACATGGCAAGAAAATAAAAAGCTTTTGGGTGGGATGGTGGGTAAAAACAAATCAAGATGACTGGCGAATGTATGTTGACGAGGCAATGCACGCTGGAAGAATGAAGGCGTGCGCAAAATTAGAGCATCTGGTCAGTTGCTGATAAGAAATTATCAGATTTCAAGAATGTAAATTGAACGAAGAGAGGAATCAGAGTTGTTCTTCTTGCCATGTCAGATGTTTTACATAAATTAATTTAATGCTGTAAATTAAGATTTTATGCAAATACACTGACAATAGTTTTGCTTCGTTTGATACTGCAAAAACAAAATGAAGATAGTTTGAATTGAAAACTGTCATTTATTTTAATCTAATAAATGACAAGACAAATCATGCAAAATACTAATTATACAAAATGACAAGCATTACACAATCATAAAAACATGTGCATAAAATTAACAAATACATTTTGTTAAGCCAAATATCATAGGTGGGGCATAAAAAATCGCCACCTTATTGTGTTCATAATAAAACAATGAACGCAATAAACCCCACCCAAAATTATTGTCTTCATTAAATTCAATACATGGTAACATTCACATAATGAACCCAAATTACATTATTACATAAGTGATAAAATGATCCTCTTTCCTTTTTAAGAACTGTCAGAGACCCTTGTCCCCATGACCAGACTGTTCATATTGATATAAAGTCAGGGGCCCTTGTCCCCATGACCAGACTGTTCATTTTAATATAAAGTCAGAGGCCCTTGTCCCCATGACCAGAATGTTCATATTAATATAAAGTCAGAGGTTCTTGTTCCATGACCAGAGTGTCATATTGATATAAAGTCAGAGGTCCCTGTCCCCGTGACCAGACTGTTCATATTGATATAAAGACAGAGGCCTTTGTCCTTATGACTCGGTAATTATTCCTGCAGGAAATAGTGACAAGCTCTCATGCAAAGCTACATTTACCATTATGAAGTCAGAGGCCCATGTCCCCATGACCCAGTGTCAAGTGTTAAATGCCATTAGACGAATCATCTATAGCAACATATGTTAAGCTTCATATATATAGACAGATTAACTGAAAGAGGAATTCCTGTTCAAAACCTGCTGACCTTCGACTAAAAAGCTTTAAAGAAGTAAAGGGGTGAACTACCAATTTGTACTATTTGATCAGAGGCCCCTGACCCCATGATCAAATTGATCTACATATGAAGCACAGGAATTCTTATGTACTTCTTAAAAGCATCTGAATGCCATCTTCCCATTCGCTTGATTTTCTCCTCTGAAATCCCCATTGCTGCAGCACAGGTCGCAGCTCCTATTCGAAAACTGTGACCCTTATAATGACTCGTATTAAGCCCTGCCCATTTGAGTGACATTTGCAAAAAATTTGTAAAATGCTGTCTTAGTAATCCATCGCCATTTGGATATGCAAACAAAGGACCTGGTGACTGGCCTCTAAGTTTAAGAAATAGCTGAATAGCCTGAACAGGACAAAATTGATCATCAGATTCGTTTCTTTGAAGAATCAGTGTAGGGATGTATTTGCCTGCACTATGCTTGAAATTATCCATTGTAATCTCGAGAGATTCACAAGAATTTAATATACCCGAGACGAGTTTTACATTTGCAAGTGTCAATACATTTTTACCGTCTGTAGAAGAAGAGACTGTAATTTCCCCAACCCTTAAAAAGGCATGAAAAGCCAGCAAATACATTGCTCTTAACATACTACATTGATAGGCTGAAATGCCTAACTTGTCCAGAGAAGTCACCAGCTGTTTCAGAATTGACGTTGTTATGGGCAATCTTGTGTCACTTCCTATAGCCTTTAGCTTTTGATATCCCTGCAGCATTTTGCGAATCACAAATTGTTGTGATGGATCTTCAAAACCTTGAACTTTGAAATTATAACTAAGAGCCGAAATTTAAGTTTTCAAGGTTGATGCTGCGATATTACTTTGAAAACAAAAAGCAATAAAATGTGCCAAATGCTCAGTAGTAGGAGGCAGTAAAGAGACATTAGGGAAGTAGGTTGACATAAAGTTGGAATAAAAGCCAAAAGTTTTTTCATAAGCTGCCCTTGAATTAGGAGCGAGGGAATTCTCCAGAATGGATGCTGCTATATCTGTCAGAGTGTTAGCATTGTTGGGTGAACTGCTGAAGGCACGGGGTCCATATTTGTACATAGGTCCTGAAACTCTCGGACCTGCAAGCGAGAAAGGCGATCAGCAGCTACATTTAGTACACCTGGGATATGTGTTGCTTTAAAAAGAATATTGTATTTTAATGATTTAACTATAAAACGCCGCATTAACTTCATAATTATTGGGTCTGCTGAAGTTTGTTTGTTAATGATGTATACTACTGCAATATTATCTGAATAAAAATTAATACAGGAGTTCCGTAATTCAGATTCCCATAGTTCTAAAGTTATAACAATTGGAAGCATTTCTCTGACTGTTATGTGATATTGACACCACTCTTGTGGCCATTCCCCGAAGAACCACTTTGTTTTAAATGTACCCCCAAACCCTACGTCACTTGCATCCGTAAACATAGATAGGGTTTCAGAGGTTTCCCACCTTTCATCTAATATCAATGACCGACCATTAAAACTATTGATGAATATAGACCAAGCTTCAAGATCAGCCCTTGCTTCTTTGTTTAATCTCCGTTTGAAGTGGGGTAATTTTAAGCCTTTAGTAAGATCTATTAGCCGTCTTAGAAAAGTGCGACCCGGTAGGACAGCAGCACAAGCAAAGTTCAGTAACCCAATCAAAGACTGTAATTCTTTCAAACTTAACTCGTTTTCTGTGCTTAAACGCATCTAATGTATCCTTTAGCTTATCAAGTTTATCCCTTGGTAACCTAACTTCCATAGCCAGGGAGTCAACCTCTAGACCTAAAAATGTTATTGTTGTTGTGGAATACACTGTTTTCTCATCCTTGATTGGGATGCCGATATCATTACATAATTTAAGGAAGTTCTCTAAGGATTTCAAACAATTGTCAGAATGAGCTGGTCCCATAAAAAGAAAGTCATCCAAAACATGAACACAGTTAGACTGGTAATAGTATTACATTATCCAATGCAATGAAGAACTAAATCTTTCAAATAGGTTGCATGAGTAACTTAGGCCCATTGGTAAGGTCTTGTCAAAATAAAACAACCCTCCAACACTAAAACCCAGTAACTCATGGTCTGACGGATGAACTGGAATGATTTTAAAAGCATTTTCAATATCTGTCTTTGCGAACAAAACTCCCCTACCAAGTTGTTTTAATAAATTAGTCGCATCATCGATGGTTTGATATTGTACCGAACAAATATCCTGCGGGATCCCATCATTAATAGATTGACCCTCAGGATAAGATAAATGGTGTATTACTCTAAATTCCCCTTCTTGTTTTTTGGGTACTAAACCTAATGGCGAACACTGAAAGTTTTTGAAAGGAGCATTTTTGAAAGGTCCGGCTGATCGACCACAACCAACCTCTTTATTTATCTTATCTTGAAGAATTGATGAATTTTGATCAGCTGATTTTAAGTTTTTGCAAAACCTCTGCTCACGAACACCTTGAAAGGGAATTTTAAAACCCTCTGTAAAGCCATCAACTAAAAATTTTCTGTCACTATTATTGTATTCTGAGAGCCAATGTTGTAACCGTTGAGGATTCACAGGGGTAACTATATCAAAGTGTTTATTTTGTAAGTTTAAGGGCTGACTGCTTAATTTCTGATGTTCCGGTTTGGAAGGTTGATTTTTGCTTATTTTTGTTTGCTGCATTGGGGAGTTTTGGGATTGATGGACAAGTTTTTCTACTGTGATCTCCGCCACAGCGTTGGCATGTGTGGGAGAATCTACAGTCTTTTCTAGAACAAATTCCTTGTTCGGAGTTATTGTAGTTGTAACAAACGAGTTTATTGCTACCCGCCTTCCCCTTGTTACCCTGGAAGGGACGAAAACTAGATTTTTGTGCTACTCCTTTTAACTTTGATTGCAAACCAGATGCCAATGCTTCCTGATACAATTCTAAGTTTAACTGGTCCCATGGGAGTTTAGCTGGAGATATCTCTCTCCATTGCCGGAACGTTTTATCGTACTGAATAGCTGCTAACGCAGTAGACTGGTCAGCAAGCTTTTGAACAGTCATTGCGTATTTCATTAGTTTTGTGACATCATTTGTATGCCTTTCGCAGAAAATACCTACAAAAATGTGGAAAGCTTTCAACCATTGAGAAATAGATTCAATTTTGAGAGGAGTTTATTTTTCTTTAACAAATGTTAGCCCATTGTCACCCTCTTCAATTGAAAATTTTACTTCTTTTTCGCTTGGTTTTAGTAAAGTACCAAAGTCGACATATTCATTTGCCCATATTTTAGATTTAACTTTTGAATCAATTCCCAGGGCTAGAGGCTTTGTAATACTCTCTGGTACGTCAGGGGAGGTGCTGTAAGAATTACCCAAATTTACAGTGGGTTCCGCAGCATTGACAGTGGCAGCTTCCTTCTCTTGCGTTGTAGCGCTGCCCGTCTGTTGTTGTCTGGAAAGTTCATCAATCACTGCCTTTGTAATACTAGGAATAGCTGCTTGAATGACGCTTTGGATTTTATCCTCAAAGCAGTCTTTGGACATTGCAGTTTGTTTTGGCGGAGGTTCAACTAACTCACTAGATTCTGTTGTCCTTCTCCGCTTTTTCTGCTTAGGAGGCATTTTCACTACCTTGAATAAAAATACAATACTTAAGTCATATCATACAAATGACATGCTAGTTGTAAACTCAAACCAACTCCCACTCAGGATTCCTCGCCTGATTACGATACGCTTATTCTGGCACAATATAGATGTACCAAGCTCTCGTGTTAACCAAGCGAATAATAATGCCTGATAAGAAGATGAATGAGTGCCACATACATGTCTATACTCATAGTCATAAAAGAAAGCACCTGTATTCCATTAAATTAAGCAGAGTTAACATATCACCACTCATTAAGCATATGTACAAGTGCTTGAGTAACTCAGTTCATATTTGTATCAGAACCAGCGTACATTTTCATTTTGCCCGAACATTAAACATCATACACGTACGGTCATACAAATGCATACTTTATGTGCCATAGCACATTCCAAAATGTACGTGTAACATCATATGAGATGCATTAGTGTCAGCTCACTGTGCAAACTCATTGCTTCGGGAATGTACGTTTACGACTGTGCCAGCTCACAGTCTACTGGAACTGATACTAAATCACATGTTACCACTTGTAACAGTACAGGGTTTAATTAAACATATATTTCTCATGCAATGTTTTATGACATATCGTAGAAGTGATATCTCAAGTACAATATACAATTATTTAACGCAGTCATACTGATTGTCATTCATGATTTAAAAAACCAGTGTCTGCTAACCGTATAGATAAGTTTAAGCATTACCTACTATAATTCATAATTTTTGTATGAGATCATGGAGATATTAAATAAACTTATCTTCTTGTAGTTGGAAATGAACCTGAACGAAAATGTGCTGCTAAAGTTGACATAGATTTCCATTTTACCCAATCCTTAATATTGACGAGCATATCTTAAACATTGGATTATCGCCCCACGTAAGTTTCTGTAGTAAATTGGCATTCCCCATTCATTGTTCAGATGGACTCCATCACAAAAGACTGTGCGCTCACTGTTTTTGACACCTTTTAGATTCCAGTACTGCAAGAAGTCTTTACCCACCAGCTCCCTCTTCAAGGCTTTATTGAATTTTATGACTAATTCATTATAAATAGTTATATCTAAAAACCGTGTTCGATATCTCGGCATCAGCTGGCAAATAACAGTCTTTTTAATTTTAAATCGACTGGTAAATGTTTCCGCAATACAACAAAGACGTAAACATAATTCGTAAGCGTATGCCTCATCTGCTGTTGCTGTGTCCAAATCGTTACCGCCTAAATGTAAAATGAGAAAATCTGGAGAAACGTGCCTAAGTTTTTGTTCTAAAGCTTCCAAGTGACAATTATTTGTAAGCTTTCCTCCGCTCATACCACAAAATGTAACACAAACATTTGGATTTAAATGTAAGTTCCGAAATTCTTGCTTTTGATTCACAAATTGCTCAAATCTTTTAACATGTGAACTTCCAGCACTCAAAACCGACGCCATTTTGCATGTTTACCGCAATGCATTTTGGATGCTGGGGAATATATAAATAGCCACAAAGTTTACTGGGGGCGAATTTGTTGCGCTTAAACTGGTTCAGGTTTTGGTTTATAGTTTGAAACTAGTTTTCAAACTGGTTTCTAGTTTCAATCCGGTTTGCCTCGGTAAAACAAATGAACAGTTTAGACATAAAGATGGCGTCTAAAAGGCACAAACATGCCTGTGTTTGCATGATTATTAATTCTGCATTTTTAGAAAATGATAGCAACTTAGAAGATCATGAAGTTGGTCTATTGTCTCAACTCCAAATGCATACTTCAATGTGTTCTGCTCTTATGACCCTGATTCCTCAGCGTCGGATCAGAATTCCTCGAGCGCTTAACTATGTTGAGGAGATCATTCCAAAGTATACTGAGGAAGATTTTAGACGAAGGTTTCGAATGAGCCCAGGAACATTTTCATCTCTTTTAACAATTTTCTTAGAATTTAAAGAGAAAACAATTATACCAATGGAAAAACAGTTATTAATTTTCATACGCTATTTGACAACACAAATGACAATCCAAGCTATTGCTGACCAATTCGGAGTATGTGAATATACAGTCTTTGATATTGTAAAGCGCCTCGCAAACATTGTTTGCCGTGAACTTCTGCAGCAATGCATAAAATGGCCAGATGGTGAAAAAGTTTCCAACATTGTTAAAGGGTTTAAAGATTTAAAAAATTTCCCTGCTGTAATTGGTGCCATTGACGGTAGTCACATACCTATAAAAACTCCAAATCATTGTCCAGAAAACTACATTAATCGAAAGTCATTTCCGTCTGTCATTCTTCAGGCCGTGTGTGATTCAAAAATGCATTTATTAGATGTTAACTGTGGTTGGCCGGGATCTGTGCATGACTCCCGAGTTTTTAAAAATTCAGAATTGTACCAAAGGATTCAGAAAGACCCAGAGGGGATGTTTCCCAACAATACACACCTTTTGGGGGACTCTGCTTATGGTCTTGAAATGTGGATGATGACTCCCTACAGGGACCGTGGAAACCTAACACAAAGTCAGTATCAGTACAACTATATTCACAGCAGTACTAGGATGGTAATTGAACGCATTTTTGGGGCCATAAAAGGAAGATTTCGCCGCTTAAAATTTGTAGACATTCAGGACATTGAAAAAATTGTAAAAGTAGTGATTAGTTGCTGTGTATTGCACGAATTTTGTCTACAGCATGACGATGATTGTGTAGAGTATATAGAGGAGGGAGGAGAGGATGAAGTCAACAACTTTGTGCAAATTTTATGTGTAAATAATGCTGCAGGAGAAAAGAGGGATAGTATTGCAAGAATGTTATAATATTTTTCCTGTTCATATACAACGTAGGCACCTTGTTATGAACAGAAAAACATATCTAAATTACACATGCATGAGAAACTGAAACTCCTTTCTTAATAAAGAATCCAAAAAAAGTTTATTTGTTCATTGTTAATCTTACTTAAAATGAAGTATTTATATTAATGCATCAAATATTCATCAATGATCAAATTCTGAATTTTTTTTTTTCAACACAGTGGAAAGATAAAAACTCAGGTATATTACATTTTATTGTAACACAAAAATAAATCAAAGACAGAGGATACCTTCCTCAAAATAATGCGGTCTTGAAGCTAGTGCTCCCCTTCTATTATACTCAAAGGCTTATATAAATAATTTTACAAAACATTCTGATACATGTATACTGTATACATCATGATTTATGAATGGATGACTACTAGTAATCACATTGTAATAATTTAAAACAATTGGATTATCATAGGTCCACACAGGTAAATGTACTTTAGATTTCCATTATTCAAACCAACTTTACAGTATGTTTAATAATTTACCTTACAATACATGTTAACTATTTTTCTAATGATTCTAAAACTAATAACCAAATTAACCAAAACTCATTTTTGAAGAGAAAACTTTTAATATTTTGATTTCTGACCACTATTATGAACAAATTCAAATTATTTATCTATTCTCTAAAGCCTTATAAAATACATGCATCAAACAGTGGAATTAAAGGCCAAAGAATTATTTCTCCTTGAAGAACAAAACAATTTTCAAATATTTAAAACTTTTTAAAAATAGTCTCCATACTTTTCATTTTCAAATTTAAGAAAAAAGCTTTATTTATGATAATCATCTGGGTTCTACAGAAGATAATAAATATTTAAATCAAAAGAAAGTCAACAGTGACAACAGCCAAGACCAGACAAACTTGATACTAAAAACTTACTTAAGTCTTTACTTAATATACCACAATAGGAACTTTCATCAACAATGAAATAATCTTATCTGATAATAACAAGGCATGAAAAATTGACTAATGGTCGTATCAGATTCTCCTGTCAACTACAAACCAGTCCGCTAACTTGCCAGAAATTACCATTAAGTAATCTTTCTTACACTAAAAGATAACATAATAGTTACTACTGTTACTATTTTTTCATGGCTTCAACCAACTGAGCCATTATTTCAAGTTTTTTTTCTTCATTTTCCATTTTCTTCTGATGTTGTTCCTTCAGTGTCTTCATCATCTCCTTGTGTTCTTTTCTCATGTCATCCAAGATTTCTACTATTTCACTTGCCTGCTTACTCTTCTTTCTTTTGGGGGTCACATCACAGTCACTTGAAGTTGACTCTGCCTTTGATTCTTCGTTATCTGTTTCATCCTCCTTGCGTGTTCCTAGAGTGAATACGGGTTTAACATTCGGTTTATACCCATAACAGTCTTCTAGTTCTTTATAAAATGGACATTCTTTCCGTTCATTGCCTGATTTTGAGTTGTGATCAACGCAATCTCTATATGCTTTTGTAAGATTTTTCCATTTCTGTTCACATTGATTCACTGTGAAAGAGAAACCCCTGTTGTGCATTTCAGAACAAATTATCTTCCAAACTTCCTTCTTTTTCATAGAGGGTTTTGTGAATTTGGCAGAATGCATGGTGTGTAATTCTATTAGATGACTGGTTGCAACTTTAGACCATGATGAAATATTGCTGGTACTTGATGAATTATTGCTGGTTCTTGATGAATTATTGCTGGTACTATTGCTGGTACTTGATGAATTATTGCTGGTACTTGATGAATTATTGCTGGTACTTGGTATATCAGACCATAATGAATTATTGCTGGTACTTGGTACATCTGTTTTACTTTCATCTGCAAATAATTTGGAAAAAAATCATGACTGGTATATTATGTACATATTCTGTTCAAAGCATATTAAGTAGTATTCAAGCATGGGGATAGCAAATATTATCAGGGGCTTGACATAAATGGGTAAATATACAATGTACAAACTCAGCATTTTATGATGTTTCACTTTGAATTAAAAATATAGATATATTATATAATTAGAGACATAAATTTTTTACCAGTTGTTTCAGTGCTTTCATTGGCCTCAGAGTATCTTGAAGATTTGCAGCATATAACTTCGTCGAATCTACACCAATCAGTAAGGAGATTGACCACCCATGGTTTTGTATTTCGTACAAATTCTTTTCCAAAAACAGACAAATTTTCGTTAACTTTTGGGTAAATTGGTTTGGTTTTGTTGAAAACCATAACTGCCTTATCATCATTCCCTTGGTCTTTCTCTCTAAAGTTATT